TTCACCTGCTCCAGTGTTTGGGGGACTGGCGGGGACCCCCACCTTTGCATGGCATGCAGTGCCCGTGTCCCCGCCCAGGCTGAAAAGGGGCAGGGGTGCAAAAGCCACTGCCACCTTGGAGAAGCTCTTTTGCATCTGAAGCCACACTTTCAGCCCAACCTAAAATAAAATCGGTGGCTGGTCCCCTATGTGCCCAAAACACCCAAATCTAGACCTAAAGTATCGCACAGAGCTGTTTCTCCATCCTCTTGCTGACCCATGGGCTGCAAGGCGACCTGGCTGGCAACCTGGTCCCTGGCCATGGCCCTGCTGTGGCCACGTGGGTCTAGGGGGGTGATGGAGGGTTGGTGTGGTGCTTCTTGCTGGGTCCTGTCGCTGCAGGGCTCGCTGGTCTTCCTGGTGAGTGGGCTGGCAGTGCTGGGCTACGCGGCGGCCCTCAGCGCCCAGCCCACCTACCAGGGGGTTGTCCGGGCGGTGTGCGGGGCTGCAGCAGGGAAGCTCTGTGAGGTCTGCTTCCTCCTCAACCTCTTCATGATCTCCGTGGCCCTCCTCAGGGTTGTGGGTGACCAGCTGGAGAAACGTGAGTTGCTTCCCTCTGCTGCCTTCAGGGCTTGCTTGGGGCTGGTGGCTCCCGGGAACAAGGGGAAGGTGGTCCCATGAGAGCTGGGGGCAGCCCCCGCGGTTTTCTTGGGACCCCCAAGGATGTGAGGCTCCCCAGTCCTGCTATGGTGTGATGCTCCAACCCCCTTGGGCCACCTTTTGGGGCACAGCTGACCCCCTGCTGACCCCCCCTGCAGTGTGTGACTCCTTGTACCCCAATGGGACATTGAGCGGGGCCCCCCCAATGCCCCCCTGGTACGCAGACCAGCGCTTCACCCTCTCGGCTCTCTGCATCCTTGTCATCTTCCCACTCTCCGTCCCCAGGGAGATCGGCTTCCAGAAGTACTCCAGGTACCACCCGGACTACCCCCACGGTGGCCCACCCCTGGGTACCCTGTACCCCAGGCCACCTCCTCCCAGGTCCCTGCAGGGCCGTGGGACCCCCCCTCCTCCCAGCTGCCGGCGGTCTGTGTGCTGATGCTCTCCCACTCCCTGGCAGCATCCTGGGCACGCTGGCCGCCTGCTACCTCACCCTGGTCATCGTCCTGAAATACCACCTGCAGGCGGGGAGGCTTGGCTCACGCTGGCCGCCGGCTACCTCACCCTGGTCATCGTCCTGAAATACCACCTGCAGGCGGAGAGCCTGGGCTCATCCGAGCTCTCCCAGCCCCCCAGGTATGGGGGGGGGTCAGCCTCGCAACCCTCCTGCCATAGCACCAGCAGTGGCATGGGGCAGGGCTGGAGGCAGTGCAGGGGGTGGCTGGCAGCCCCCAGCCCCAGCTTTTGCCCTAGCAATCCCCCCCTTCTCTCAAAATTGCCGTGCGGGAGGTTCCTGCAGTGGCATCCAGTCTTCACAGCTTATGCCACCGAGGTTTCCTCTGCCTCTGGGGTCCTCATGCCCTTCACTCCACACTTCCTCCCTACCATGCCACAGGGCCTTCTCCTGGGCCTCTGTCTTCAGCGTCATCCCCACCATCTGCTTCGGGTTCCAGGTAGGTCACCCTGGCCCCACCGTCCTCGGCCATGGGGACACCATCCCTTGCAGGGGAGGGTTGCAGGGAAGGGGACCTGTGGCTGTCACCATAGGTGGCTACAGGACACAAGTCCCTGGGGACAGGAGGGAGCGGAACAGGGCACCCATGGGTGAGAGAGGGCGCTGGGGGTGGGGGTTGTCCCTGCACGGGGTCCCAGCACCATCCCCATGTGCCTTGCAGTGCCACGAGGCTTGTGTGGCCATCTACAGCAGCATGCGCAACCAGAGCTTCTCCCACTGGGTTGTCGTCTCTGTGCTCTCCATGCTCATCTGCCTGCTCATCTACTCCCTCACTGGTAACCCCAACACCGGAGCCCTTCACCCCCTCCTTGCCCCGGGGGACCCCCATCCCCAGGGCTCATCCCTCCTCCTCAGGGCTCCTCTGTCCTCACCGGCACGGCTGCCCACCCCCACCCCCCCATCGGCAGGGCTCTACGGCTACCTGACCTTTGGTGAAGCCGTGGCATCCGACGTCCTGATGTCCTACCCAGGGAATGACCCGGTCGTCATCATCGCCCGCCTGCTCTTCGGTGTCTCCGTCGTCACCATCTACCCCATCGTGGTGCTGCTAGGCAGGTGAGGGGGCAATGGCTAGCTGTGTGTCCCCCCCAGCCAGTGTGGCTCTGCTGGGTGCCATCAGCCTCCCCAACATCCCCTCCCCAGGTCGGTGGTGTGGGATATATGGGTGACCCCCAAGCGCAGGACCGCAGTGGTGCCTGACGTGCACGAGCGGCGGAGCCGGGTGGCACTGACAGTCGCCTGGATGGCCACCACGCTCGCCATTGCCCTGTTCGTCCCGGATATCGGCAAGGTCATCGAGCTCATAGGGGGCATCAGTGCCTTCTTCATCTTCATATTCCCAGGCAAGAGTGAGCAGTGGGAAGGAGGGGCATTGCTGGGGGGGGGTTGGGAAGCTGCCCAATCAGCCAGTCCTGGCCCCATTTTCGGCATCCCATGCCCCATGGCCCGGGCAGGGTCCCTGGGGGGTCACCCTGGCCAAGGTGGGAGCCCCACGAGGAGGGGGATTTTGGGCACCTGTAGGCACTGAAAACAGCAGCACTTGCTCCAGGACATGGGGACTGTGGTGGGGCTGAAGGGTGGGTATGGAGGGACGTTCTCCGACATGGGGGATGTGCCCGGGTACCAGGGGTGTGCCCAGACATCAGGCAGGTCCCTGCATACCAGATCCCTTGCAAGGCAGAGCGGCTGTAGGGAAGGAGAGCTGAGGGATTCGGGGGCTCTGGGG